GGTGCTGGCGTGGTTTAATTTATATATGACAGCTTATTCTTTTGATTTGAAGTTTTGTGGTGTGCTCATGTGAAACAGGGCATTCAGATGAGAGAGAGAGAGAGAGAGAGTTGTATTCCTAACATGAATGTTTTTCACTGAAGTCGGAGCTCTCTGCCATGTATGAACTAGGGGACTTTTGGTACTTTGTGTGGGAATAGCTTAGAATAGATTCAGCACACTTGAAGTAAAAGAGAGTCTGTAAAGAGGAAACACTGGCTTTGTACCATGCCTTGCTTTGGGTCATGTGTAAAGGAAATCTGAAAGATTTCATCTCAGCTTTCTCCCCTTTCTGCTCCGCCACAAACACAAGTACGCTCATTTGTTACCGCCCCAAAATGTTGTTAACTCAGTTGAGGCTGCATGGCAGTGCCTCATACCAGTACACTGAGTATACTGAAAACCTTTCAGAAGCAGTTTTTAACTGAATGGGTGGTGTGTGGCCTCCTATAACTTTGGTTGGCCTTCAACACTGGTCAAAAAATCATCCAAATAAATACCACTTCCTTTTATCCGATGTAATAAACCTTAAAAAAGACTTGACGTTTGAAGAAAAAACTTGGAAATTAAAAAACAAAACTCCTCTCCCGCCAGCCTCCCCTTTCATAGATCATCAAAATCTTTTAAATTTTCATCCTTTGGTGGTAACCTCTAACACAGCTGTCATCTCCGGTCTAGTCTAGTTGCCATATTGGGTTCCAGTCCTGAAGGTGAATTGGTGTAGTGGAGTGTTGCTGGTGCATTTGTAGGGTTGAGCCTTGGGGTACAAGTAGCTGTGGGACCAGCATTTTTTTCTTGACATTTTAATACAATAATCTAAAGCAGCTTTCTAAAAAAATGAAAAATTGAGATCAAGGAAATTCATAAGTGAAGATCTGTTAACAACCTTAACTGGCCCCATATCCTTGGCTTTCATATCTGATACATTGGTTAGCATTTACAGTTCTAACTACTAGCATCATATCCATATACCAGACATTTTGTTTTATTGGGAAAAGAGAGCTAATCTACTATGCCCTCGTTTGATAACCCTGGCAAAATATATTGACTTTGTCACCACTGTTTCACCAACATACTTGTGGCTACAAATGCATAAACTCATGGTGTGGTTTCTCTATTATTTCAGAGAGTTACAAGTCATACAATTGCCAATGATGCAGTTTCTGAACCATCTTAAAAATGAAAGACAAGGAATTATGAGATTTTTGGTGCCTGAGTCCAAAACTTAGATCTGCAAAACCCGTTCAGCTGCTGCTTAATCCAGTTGGCAACTAAATTCCCTTTGTGGCTCTAGAAATATGTATTAGAGATTGAATGGGCTAATTTTGACGTTCTTGCTTACAGTGGAGTGTTGGCTTGGGAATATGTGGCAGATCAGAGTTTGAAATGTCATGGATTCTCACTCTGTGGCATGACGTGTAGGAGAACTTGAGTTGTTTATGATCAGTGGTAGTTCATAGAACCATAAGGGGGCTGCGGATTAGAAGTCTGTATTAAAAATGGACAAGAGGAACACTTTTGGTTAGGTAGAGGATGGTCACTGGTGGGGAGTAAATCATAGAATTAGAAGTTTGAAGCAGAAAAGACCAGTTAACATTTTAGTATTTTAGAAAATCTAGTTTTACCACACACAAGAGAAAGGCCTTTTTCTATTAGTTCCCTTAGAAAACTCTCCTAACGTTAAGGTCTATAGACGTATTACAAACTTTTTTTCTCATCTGCAGACTTCTTTCTAATTGCTTCTGATTATACCCAGTTTTTACTCGTTTAACAAATAGTCTCCTTTCTTGGTATTAATATCCTGTAACTCTGTGCAGTTACTGTGACATGAGTTAGAAGTGATAGGCAGCAAATGAGGCTAATTGTTTGGCTAAGTCAGGTTTTCCTATTCACAGTATACAAGCTTCTGAATCAGGGATGTAAAAAGTCAGTTAAAAAGGTAAATGTGTAACCGCTAAGATTTTTAAAAATCAGCTTTATACTGCAGAGCCCACAGTGAAGCTTCCCCAAGAGCAGGGCTGCCAGCTGTGATCCTGGATCCAGGATCCAGGCAGAGTTTAATCCATAAGCATCAGCTTATCTGGTAACCAGTTAATGGGTTAAACTGTAACATCCCTGTTCTGAGTGGATCTGCAGCATGTACTATTGCATTTGACTGCAGAACTCTGTTGTGTCTGGGAATTAAACTTGAGTTTGTTATGGCTGCCACTGAGTCTGGTCTATTAAAGCAGCCCATGAACATCCTAGGAGAGCACGTTTTTCAGTTACAAAAGTTAGTGGCTCACTTGTATCTTCATGATTGTTATGTATGTTAAAGGTCAAAAGTAAAAAGTTAGTTTCAGATTAGAGTTAAAAAGGATATTTTAATTCCATCTGAGTTTTGGTTCGGTACCCAAATAAATAAGTATCTGATTGGAAGTTGTAATGTTCTAACCTGAGAGATCTGATGGGGATATTCTTGTGTAGGACAGAATGTTCTCTTCACTTGTATTCATAGTTTGACTTCTGTGACTTGATTTTATTTGTGAAAACAAAGCCATGAAAAGGCAGAGCAGATATGCAAAAAAGAAAAATCCTGAATGTGAAATACGTACTATCGTGGGGGAAAAATGAATTAAAAGAGCTCACAGGACAAAAGGAATGTGAAATGACCCAAATTAGCCTGTCAGTCTCACAATCTTTTCTGTTTAATAAGATTCCAGTTGTAAATGGTAACAGTTCTAAGTTGGAGTAAAGCATAGTTGTGGAAATGTAGTTGCTATTAATTAACCTCTGTAATCTATAGGAAGGTGAAATCCTCTGATTTAAAGACATTCCACTGTCTTGTTGGCTCTTTTAGTACATTTTTTTAATGCCAGGTGCAATAAGATGCAATTATATAAAGTTTTTTTTCATTTCAAAAATTTATTTTGTATTTAGACATTGACTGGGTAAGTATTATCCTGAAATGTCCAAGTGTTGAAAAGTGTGGCACGTGTATATAGGTGTCTTTTGCACCATTTTCATATAGCATAACATAAGAACTAGGGGTCACCAAATGAAATTAATAGGTAGCAAGTTTAAAATAACCAAAATAATTTTTTCCTCATGCAGCGCACAGTTGGCCTGTGGAACTCCTTGCCAGAGGATGTTGTGTAGACTAGGACTTTAACGGGGTTCAAAAAAGGTCTAGATAGATTCATGGAGGTTAGATCCATCAATACTTATTAGCCAGAATGGGGAGGAATGGTGTCCCTAGGCTCTGTTTGTCAGAGGCTGGAAATAGATGATGGGGAGGAATAACTTGCTGATTCCCTGTTCTGTTCCCTCTGGGGCATCTGGCATTGGCCACTGGGCAGACTGGACACTGGGCGAGATGGACCTTTGGTCTGACCCAGTCTGGCCGTTTTTATGTTCCTCATCCTGCAGCAGGCAAAATGGAAAGAAGTGTGGAAAACTTGAGTAGTGAGATGTAAAATCAAAGTCATGATCACAACTGGTTATCAGAATATTCCTGCTCTTGGAAAAAATGTTCAGGGGATAACATGGGAAAGTAGGGCTAATGCTGGGGCATGGATTGTCCCGGATCAGGGCACCACAGACTGGAGAGCCAACAGTTGGAGAGAATTTAAGTGAGGTCATGCACAGAACTTTTCACGTGAAGGAATAGGAGCCTGACATACTCAACCAGAGTTTAAAAAAAAGAAATTCTAAACCAAAAACATTTGAAATGATTTGAGATTAGCAACTGCAATTGAAGTGAAATACACGGAGTGGACAGCCTTTGGGTGGGAAGAAGAGGAGAGAAGAAAATAGAAAACAATGCACTGGAGATACAGGTTGAACCTCTCTAAACTCTCTGGTCTGGCAACATCCGTGGTCGAGTAGGAAGAGAGCCCCAACAGCTGGAAGTCTGGTGGGAGTGGGGCCAGTGGCCCTGCTGGGATCAGGAATCTGTTCCGCAGCCAGTAGGGGAGCTTGGGCGTAGGGTTGGCGGTTGGGGAAGAGTCCAGTGGTCAGCAGCAAAGGGGCTGGCTTTGACCTCCCCAGTCCAGCAAACTCCCTGGTTTGGGACTGGTTAGGCCCCGAGGGTGCCAGACCAGGAAGGTCCAACCTGTAGAAAGCAACGGTTACTGAATTCTGGTTAGGACACCAATGCCAAGTTCATCGCCACACACCATAAAAGACACATTCTCAATGTTCAGCCTCTATAGTCTAAGTTCTGCCCTTGTAAAAAAGTACTGCCTGTACTGCACTTCACCTGTAGTACTGGACTTGTGTTTATACAACAGTTCTGAATATCCTGCCACTCTTCGTCCAGTTTCTGTCTGCTGACATCACCCATCCAGAAGCTGGTAGTTCCTTTTGAGCAACAGAACTTCATCATTCCCATATTATATTGTATTTAGTCTGGTTATTGCCCAATACTTGTTTAAGGGATTGCACATAATTGTATGACATGGCACAAAGCAGGAACCACCAGCACAACAAATGCTGGATGCTTTTATTTTCTGGAAGTCCAGTCACTTTTGTGAAAGTTTGGCACTCCCTTTCATGGCAAAGTCTATTCCTCTTGTCAATGGAATTGAGATTGGACCTAGACTAGGGACCTAAGTTGAAGGGGAGCAGGTCACAGAAATATTTGTTTTAGCAGTATGTGCACGAATTGTGCAAGGGTGGAATCAAAGTGGATGATGTGACTTGGTTTGGCTTTCAGACTGTTTAGATTGTTTCAGTGGTTGTGATCAATGGTATTTTTGACTTGTGCTTGGCAGCTTCAGTTGTAACTTTACCTAGTTTTCTGTTCTGTAATGTGGTACACAGTAACGATAAAATAGTCTCAGGCTCTCTCGGTTATGGTTATAAGACCAAAGGACTGTGGTGTGTGCAGTCCCCCAGGAGCCTTGTCTTGGTGGTTTTGAAAGGTGTGTGTTTTCAACTGAGCACAATTGGATAGCTCTCCTTTTACCCATGAAGACGGGATGCACAGCACGTATGTGGCCTACCAAAGTACAGTCAGCTTCAAGGAGATCAGCCCTGTCACCTGTGTTGCAGCCACTTGAGTTAGTTGAAGCAGTTATTCTAGAGTTGGTGGGAAGGGGGCCTGTCTCTCTTCAGGAAACCTATAATTTTAGGGTGAGGAAGGGACTCTCCCCCACAACTCAGTTCCAGCTCTACGTCTAGGAAAGGCCAAGGCTGAAATAACACATCTGACTAAACATTCTACTCACACATCTGTAGTTCCAAGATTTAGTCCTTCCCGAGGCATAGATGTCACTGGGGGTATGTCTACACTAGCCCCCTAGTTCGAACTAGGGTGGTTAATGTAGTCATTCGAAGTTGCAAATGAAGCCCGGGATTTAAATATCCTGGGCTTCATTTGCATCTTGCCGGGTGCTGCCATTTTTAAATCCCCGTTAGTGCGGACTCCATGCCCGCGGCTACACGTAGCACGCAGTAGGTAGTTCAAATTAGGCTAACAGGGATTTAAAAATGGCGGCGCCCGGGCTTCATTTGCAACTTCGAATGACTACATTAACCACCCTAGTTCGAACTAGGGGGGTAGTGTAGACATACCCAGGGTTCTCCATGCCTGGCTTCCTAGCTTAATTCATGTCTCCTGTTTCCATGGGCTCTCCTGGCCTCTTGCCAGTTCACATCCTGTTTCCCTAGCGTTCCTGGGGACTCTCTAGGACCTGCTGCCATAGAAAAATGTTATTTTTTTGAAATAGGCATGTGTATGTTTTGAGACATGGTGTTTGCTGTAAAACATAGTGCTCTGTAGTATCATCCACGCTGAGCATTTAGACTGCCAGTGTTGTAGTTGCTGATTTATAATCTGTATGTTGACATGAAGTGGGCCTCAGAAGTTTGGCTACCATTACGTTTGTTTAGGCAGGGACTCACAAACTATTGCTCCTACTTTCTGGTTCTTCTAGTTTAATTGTTCCCGTTGTGAGTGAAATTTTGTACTCTTTTGAATGGCTGTTTTGGACGCAGGTCATATACGTCCTATTTTGTTTTGTTTCATCTAGCTGCTCTTCAGGCTCTAAAACGCAAGAAGAGGTATGAGAAGCAGCTTGCACAGATAGATGGCACGTTATCAACAATTGAGTTCCAGAGGGAAGCCCTTGAAAATGCCAACACCAATACGGAAGTGCTGAAGAATATGGGCTTGGCTGCTAAAGCTATGAAAGCTGCTCACGACAACATGTAAGAAATTTCATATTGTATCCATGAATGAGTGTCCACTCAATCAAAATCAAACCAGAAATTATAGAAAGAGAATAAAGAACCGGGTCCCATGCAATCTGTTAAAATGATCTGCATCATCTCAGCATGAAGCAACTGCAGTTTTGCACGGGTTACAGAGCAGCGAAGCTTTTTTTAAAAAAGTTTAAAATAGAATACAGGCAGTCCCCGACTTACGCGGATCCGACTTATGTCGGATCCGCACTTACGAACAGGGCTTTCTCGCCCCGAAGGTCGAGGTAGCGGATTGCTACCTGCGATCTCCGGGGCGAGAGAGCCCCGTTCGTAAGCTGCTCCGGTGCCCCTGGTCTGCTGGAGACCGTCTCCAGCAGACCAGGGGCACTGGGCGGGTTCCCGCGCTTCTGAGGCTTTGCCAGAGCAAAGCCTCAGAAGTGCGGGAACCCGCCCAGTGCCCCTGGTCTGCTGGAGACGGTCTCCAGCAGACCAGGGGCACCGGAGCAGCTTACGAACGGGGCTCTCTCGCCCCGGAGATCGCAGGTAGCAATCCGCTACCTCGACCTTCGGGGCGAGAAAGCCCTGTTCGTAAGTGCGGATCCGACATAAGTCGGATCCGCGTAAGTCGGGGACTGCCTGTATTCTATTTTAAACTTTTTTAAAAAAAGCTTCGCTGCTCTGTAACCCGTGCAAAACTGCAGTTGCTTCATGCTGAGATGATGCAGATCATTTTAACAGATTGCATGGGACCCGGTTCTTTATTCTCTTTCTATAATTTCTGGTTTGATTTTGATTGAGTGGACACTCATTCATGGATACAATATGAAATTTCTTACATGTTGTCGTGAGCAGCTTTCATAGCTTTAGCAGCCAAGCCCATATTCTTCAGCACTTCCGTATTGGTGTTGGCATTTTCAAGGGCTTCCCTCTGGAACTCAATTGTTGATAACGTGCCATCTATCTGTGCAAGCTGCTTCTCATACCTCTTCTTGCGTTTTAGAGCCTGAAGAGCAGCTAGATGAAACAAAACAAAATAGGACGTATATGACCTGCGTCCAAAACAGCCATTCAAAAGAGTACAAAATTTCACTCACAACGGGAACAATTAAACTAGAAGAACCAGAAAGTAGGAGCAATAGTTTGTGAGTCCCTGCCTAAACAAACGTAATGGTAGCCAAACTTCTGAGGCCCACTTCATGTCAACATACAGATTATAAATCAGCAACTACAACACTGGCAGTCTAAATGAAGACTAGGATTTTTCAATCCACAAACATCCACGGGGTACAAAGCCCTCAATAGTGTACACAATTTTTGTCTGTCTAAAGTATAGTGTCAATAACAGTCTGAAGTGACTTCCAAGATGTAGCAGTCATAGATCCATCTAATACCTGCACAATTTTTAAAAACCACCTTTAAAAGGGATGCATAGTCTTTTCCTTTTTTTCTTATGCTCAATATAAATTACAGACAAAAATGACATTGAGATGGAGTTATGGCTGAGATTCCATATCAGTAACTAAGCGTAAACTTAAATCACAGATGTTGTAATTAATACAGAGCAAGTATTTGTAAACCCAGGCAACTCTGAACCTAAGGTTAAATTGAAAAATCTAGACTTGTTCAGAGATAGGAATGCTTAGTTAGGGACATAAATTATTTTAACTCAGCCATGTGGTGAGTCCATGTGACTAGGGAATTTTAGTGTTTGTGGTTCAAGATTAAATTAGGGGGGTTTTAAGGCCTGAAATTGTTGAGGTTTTTTTGCCTTGTGATGTCACATGTACCTCAGATTTCTCTTCTCTACCCCTACAATTTCCTGCATGCATACCACCCCCCTTTTCAGTAACTTTGGTGCAATGGCTAACTCACTTTTAAAATATTTCACTGTTTTTCACAACAGAAGCACTTTCAGTTAGAAGCTGGTGCGTAAAATATTCTCCAGAGAATCTCATGAAGAATTGTACTCTTCCAAAATGGCTGGCATCCCCAATGTTTTGAAATGACAATGAGACGAGTGTCCTCAGTTACCATGTCCTCTTTCCAAATGCCACTGTATTTCATTGCCCCCAGGTGGAGTGAGGGTCAACAGCCTTAGGAAAGGTCAGTCAGGACAGCTATCAGGAGGTGGAGAAGAACACCGAGGAGTAGGTGAATAGATGCAATGGCTGTTGTTGCTATGGGGCAGTCTTGCTTCAGTCCTGTTGAGAACAGTGGCGAAAAGTGGCTATTTTGGAAGATGGCAGGTCTCTGTGGAATTCTCTGAAGTGTATTGAGTTTCTACCCTGGACAAACTTGAAAATGAAGACTAAAGGGGGTTTGAGAGGAGAGGTGTGGAGAATGACAATCCTAAAAACCAAACAAGAAAACCCTTTCAAGATAACCTGTGCACAAGAGTTCAGTGAGTTAAATATATGGAAAGTTGGAAAAGTCTGCATTATTCTGTTAAGGACGTTGGGGACAAAACCGACAGAACAGGTGCCAGGTTTCTTACAGGATCCGTTTTTGATTAGTGGATTTGCTTCTACATTTTTAAAGTCATTCTGCGCTCTGAGTAAGCAGTAGAACTTTGGAGAGCACAGCTTGCATTTTTCATACATAAGAGCTTGAATCGCTGCTTCCAGTGCAAAACTCAGCTCCCCCATAACTTACCTTTAGTGCACTGTGGAGTTGACACTAATGATGATGATTGTGTGTCCCATGAAGGCATTTTTTCCATTCCAACCTTGACTAAAGCAAATAGATCTGAGCTAGTGAGAATTAAGTTAAAAACAAACTGGTAACTGGATCTTGAGGGCTTAACAGGATAACTGAGGGTCTGTCTACACTACAAAGTTAATTCGAACTAACGGACGTTAGTTTGAATTAACTTTGATAGGCGCTACACAAGCGCTCCGCTAGTTCGAACTTAATTCGAACTAGCGGAGCGTTTAGTTCGAACTAGGTAAACCTCATTCTACGAGGACTAAGCCTAGTTCGAACTTACTAGTTCGAATTAAGGGGTGTGTAGCCCCTTAATTCGAACTAGTGGGAGGCTAGCCCTCCCCAGCTTTCCCTGGTGGCCACTCTGGCCAACACCAGGGAAACTCGATTGCCCCCCTCCCGGCCCCGGACCCCTTAAAGGGGCACGGGCTGGCTACGGTGCCCATGCCAGGTGCAAGCCTGCCAGCACC